GATTTTAAGCACAAAATCTCAGCTTTCAGTGGAGAAAGCCATATTTCATTTTCTGATCCTTTCTATAAACATTAGGGGGTGGAGATCTCCAGTAACTTCTGTGCTAAGCCCCATCCTGTTTGCCTTTCACTAGTCTGCTGGCTCAGGACTGCTCTGTTTTCACAAGGGAACTTTTTTTCTGGTTCTGTGTTGGGCATTACATTTTGTTGGCAAGTACCAGACCAGTAAAAATTCCTTCCTTCCTTCCTTCCTTCCTTCCTTCCTTCCTTCCTTCCTTCCTTATCCTTGGGTATGAACTCAGAACCTAGGCATAGTCCCTGAGCATTTTTGCTCAAGGCTCGTGTTCTACCACTTGAGCCACAGTTCTACTTCTGGCTTTTTAATGGTTAAATGGAGATAAGTTCAAAGTCAGCTTGGGCTGATTTTGAACTGGGATCCTCAGATCTCGGCTTTCTGAGTAGCTAGGATAACAGGTGCAAGTCACTGATGTCCAGCCCCCAGTGTTTTTTTTTTTTTTTTTGCCAGTCTTGAGACTGAGGTCCTGGGAACTGTCTCTGAGCTTCTTTTGATCAAGGCTAGTACTCTACCACTTTAGCCACAGTGCCACTTCTAGCTTTTACTGTTTATGTGGTACTGAGGAATGGAACCCAGGGCTTCATGCATGCTAGGCAAGCACTCTGGCACTAAGCCACATTCCCAGCCTCCCAATGCCTTTTTTTTTTTTTTTTTTTGGTCAGTCATGGGGCTTTATCTCTAGGCCTTGGCACTGTCCCTGAGCTCTTCAGCTCAAGGCTAGTGTTCTACCACTTGAGCCACAGTGCCACTTCCAGGCTTTTCTGTTATGTGGTGCTGAGGAATTGAATCCAGGGCCTAATGCATGTGAGGCAAACACTCTACCACTGAGCCACCTTCCCAGCCCCTCCCAATGCCTTTTTAATGCCATACAGAATTTTTTTTGGAGAGGGGAACTGATACTTGGGGCTTGAACTCTGGGCCTCCCACTTGCTGGACTGGTACTTTACCACTGGAGCCATATCTCTAAGTCAGATTTTTGCTGATTATTTTAGAAACAGAGTTTCACATACTTTTCTGCCTCATCTAGTCTTGAACTACAATCCTCCTGATCTCATCTTTGTGAGTAACTAGGATTACAGACAGGAGCCATTAGTGACCAGCAATGTAGGATTTTTATTTTTCAAAGAAGAGCAACCTGTTGATTTTTTTCCCCCTGTGCCTTCCTTACTCTCTTCTGTAATGAAAGTGGTGTCTAAAAAGAGGAGGTGAATATAAAAAGTGGAGTAGCAGAGCACCAGCCTTGAGCCAAAAAACTAAGAAGCAGTGCCCGGCAATGGCTCTCTTCTTTCCCCTCTCCTCTCCTCCCCCTCTCTCCTTTCTGACAACGGAAGCTTTTCCCTCCCCTGGATGATTACTTAGGATGGCTCTTGCATATTTCTCCAATTTGGAGGAATTTACAAGTCTCACAGCTCAGAAGGAACCTTTAGGCTTAAGCTAGGGCCACAGCCTCCTTCTTTACCCTGGCATTTTCCAGTTTAACCATCACTACAAAGCTAGTCTTAGAATCTTTCTCATTTCACAGGCAAGCAAACTAACACTCAGAGTTTAACTTGCCGCAGGACACACAGCTAGATTAAGTAGCAAATGAGTCATTTTATCCTTAAGAGAAGAAAGGCTCTTCAAGCTTGGGTGCATAGAGGAAAAGGTGATTTAGGACTGAACTGGGTCTTCAAGTAACTGGGTCTTTTCGAGTTTCCAGTTACTCTGTTCCTCCAAGTGGCTAAGCCTTTCCTGTCCTATGGAATCTCATATTAACAACCAGAACCTCATTTCACAGGGACACATAGAGGGGGTAACAGAATGATGAAGCATGCAATATGAGCTTGAGAGTGAAATTTGTGACCAACAAAACTTTAAGATTTAGACAAGACTTAGAAAGATTACTATTTTCAAAGAACATTATTGTACTACAAATCACATTGTAATCTGAAGACCTTCTCTAGTTAAATGTTTATTATTTGTGGGAGTGTTAAGCTAGTTTTTCCTGTTTTAGAGCTTCAAGAAACCAGTCCAATATTCTAAGTGAATGATGGTACCTTGAGATTATACTCACTGCAAATAACAGTATAAAGCATCTCTAATCTAAGTGTTGGGTACAGTATGCTATTTATATTTATGGCACTTCAATATGCAGCTTTTTTTTTCAAAGATCAAGGTTGAGTATTGAATGTAGATACATAGGATTGTTGTACTGTAGAAACAACTGGCAATGATTTACCAAAGCGAAGAGAGCCAACACATGGACCTGGAACTCATATTGTTATTGATTGGATATGCGTCCAAGAACACATCTGTGTTAAAATTAATTCTCTAAAAATTACTAAAGAATGTTTGAACATACTGATCCATCATCAAGTGTTTAACATATGGTCAATGGTAGCTTAGAGTTAATAACCCAAAAGATATCTACCAACTACTCAAACCCTAAGGCCTACAAAGGGCTCCACCTAGGTCAGCTCTTTTTCAAAAGTCATGGTTTTGCTTTGCAAAGTTTTCAACCTTGTGAATATTAAAAAGGTGAACTGATCAAAGTAGGTAAATATATTACAGATAAGTGATAAAGATTTCTAAAACTTAGGAGTTATTTAGTATTTACAATCACTTTTTCATGAATTGAGAACAAAAAAGCCTTGAGAAGTGGGAGAGAACAAAGGAAGAGGTGACATTGTCCAAAAAGAAATGACCTTATTACCTGACTTATGAAATGATTACTCCTCTCCTCTGTACAATACCTTTATAATAACAATAAACTATTTTTAAAAGGCCTTGGAAGTTCAGTATGATAAAGTGTATGTGCCACTTTATACTCACTGATGGAGAAACAGGAACAACTCAAGGTGTGGTAAATACAGTCGGGAAGCTTGAAGAATTAGTTAAGCCTCTGAATGCCACCCCCCCCCCCCCCCATACCCCCCCCCACACATGAGCACACAGAAAAGACCACTTACCCAATGAGGCAACTGCTGTTAACTTTTTTTTTTTTTTTTGGTCGGTCATGGGGCCTGAACTCTGGGCCTGGGTGCTGTCCCTCAGCTCTTCAGCTCAAGATTAGGGCCCAACCACTTGAGCCACAGAGCCACATTGTTTTTTTTTTTGTTTTCTTTTCCCCACTTTCAGCTTTTTTTTTTTTTCTTCCTGTTTATGTGGTTCTGAGGAATTGAACCCAGGGCCTCATGCATGCGAGGCAAGCACTCTACCATGGAGCCAACTTTCCAGCCCCCTGCTGTAACTCTTAGTTAATAAACCACCTATCCTGAAAACACTGACATGAAGATTGAAGGACCTGTTGTACTTTAATTACCTGCTCCCTAATAGTTGTTCTTAGGTTTAACAGAGATAAGAGCCTGGAAGAAAGATTTAATAAAGGATTCAGGGCAAGGGGTGTTAATCTGTAAGCTGTGGCCTGCAGAAATGAGCTCCCACAGTTAGAAAGGAGGCTTTCCTTTGACTCCATTGGTCTTTCCATTCACAAGATGCTTTAAGACTGTGAAAGTGGTTTTCTTCTACTTGATCCCTTCCTTCTAGAACTGCTTAGTTGTTCAAATAATGGTCTGTGAACTACAGTTCTCAGCATTTTCCCTCTCAGCTGTCTGGGGAGAGGAACACACTCCATACTCTTAGGAAGACAGGCAGCTTTCACACCATGAGCCTAGGGCCCCACTATGATCCCACTCCTACTCTAGTCACAGCACTGACACGGTGTGCCAGAGGGTTACACTGTATGTGCTAACCTGAATCCCCCAGCGGCAGCCTATGAGGTAGAGATGATCCTCAATATGCATGTATACTAGGGGTGAGGCTCAAGTGGCAGAACACCTAACTAGCAAGCTCAGGGTCCCAACTTCAAACCCTCTACTGTCATAGGAAAACAAAATACACGAGGAAAACTATGTATCATTTAAATCTGTAAAGTTACACAACTACTAAATCCTAGAACTGGGATTCAAATCCAGATAATCTAGTCCTAGGGCATATATATGCTCTATACTTGTTTTAAAAAGCAAATGAGAAAAAACTCGCAGATAACTTGCTCTGGCATTTTTTTTGTTTTTGCAAACTATCATATCTTGTTATTAACATTAAATTACTAGGTCAAGTATGTTGGTTCATGCCTACAATAACAGCTAGTCAGGAGGCCATAGGTTCAAGACCAGTCTTGAACAAAAATGCAAGCCCTTATCTGAAAAATAACCAAAGCAAAAAACGAGTCAGAGGCGTGGATCAGGTGGTAGAGTTCTGGGTTCAAATCCCAATACTGCCAAAAAATTATAATGTATCACAATTAAGCACTCACTGAATAGTCTTAGAACACCACCAACCCATAACATCTAACAATGACTGCAAATATATAACAGTTTAAACTTAACTATGAGAACGATTTGAAAAGTTACTGTTTTTCCTATGCAAAATTACAAATTATGATAAGCAGCTTTGTTTTTCCTTATTTAATTTCAGTTAAAAATTTTGTTTCCATAAATTTTTTAATTAGGCCTCTATGTGGGAAATCTTTGCAAAATGTTTATGACTGATGACTCAAACCTTTCAAGTCCCAGTATTTCTTGAAAGGGGTAGGGGGCAGGGAGAAAGGTCAAATGGATGCCCTGAGATTATAGGATTGCCAAAGACAGACTGAACTTCAGTCTTTTGATAGAAAAGCTATTCTAATGAGGAAAGAACACTGATCTGAAAAACTAATTAAAATTAATTAGAAGTTCCAAATACCTCAGATGTAAAATCATGTATTATGTAAAAGGTACTGTTGTCAAGGTGAATCTAAGTTTTAGAACCTCACTTGAACTAAATTAGCCTCTTAAATGTCTGTCTCCCACTCAACATCTTAGTAAAAGATAAAATGTATTATGAATTGTAATTTCTGTAGCTTTGTGCAATGTGTATCAGAATGAAGTGGACAGATAAGCCAGGTACAATTTTATAAGAACATGATCCAATTTTATTTACATGTTATTTTTTCCAAGGAACATGTAATAGCTTGTTTTTTAAATTCATCTTTAAAATCCAATAGTGACTATAAGTCAAAATAGATTTGGTTTTTACGTCTTTGTTATACACTGTGTAATAAAGTTGAAGCCAAGTAACGCCACCTACAGGGAACCAATAGAACAACAGTCATATCTCTATGGCCCATGAATGTCTAAAATTTGATGAACATATTTAATACAGGTTAACTTCAAAGAAAAAAAAATGGAAAGATGTGGTAGGAAAAAACCATACTAACATTCTGGGTTATTGATACATCTTACAACTGAACCCAATCTTACCCTCCAATTCACCAGTCATATAAACATGGACCCTTGGCTGTGAACTGGAGCAAAGCTATGCTACCCCAAGTATCTTTGGTTATAAATGGCATAGGGGAAATTCAAGTCTTTGGAGGTGAAACTTCTAATTTTTTTTGTCTATCTGTTGCATCTCCCTCCCTGTCTGCAGGCATTCTTACCTTTACCTTGTCAATGACCAGATTCCCTGGATTTTCAGCTACTTTAAGTCTACTTCAGTTTCTAAAGCTCAGCCATTTTCTTTAAAGCCCATTCCACATCAGATTGTTTTTCCTTCTCTATGCAACACAGGCCTACTCTTAACAGGTGCCTTAATTTTTTATATACACTCTCTTCCCTAGTCCACTCTTTTCTCCCCTTGGGATGGAGATGCTGAAAGATTTCCTTCTCACAATGGTTTTCAATTTAGGCTAAATATTAAAGCCATCTTTCATAACAATGGCACACTTAATTGGAATTAGGATAGGGCTTTTCCTTGCTTTCAATTTTCCAGGTGATGTCCTGTGCAGCATGGTTCGAGACACACTCACTGCCTTTCAGTAAGGTCATAATCCTATCCTTAGCTAACTACAGCTGGATTCTAAAAAAATTTATTGTTTATATTATGCACTGGCCACCCCTGCCTGCCCAAAGTCTCTGGGTCGCTCGAGCAGTTTCCCAAAAGACTGGTATGCTTTGAGATTGGACAGTTAGATACATTCAGACTGAACAGTTAGTGGCATCTTACCTCATGTTGGCTGCATCCTTTCCACTGCTATGTAAGTCTTCTAGCCACCAACTCTCAGACTGGCAGGGTCACATCATGTGCCCCCTCCAGCTGTCTCCAGGCTTTGAAATAAAACAACTGCAGTTGGGCTGGGAATGTGGCTCAATGGTAGAGCGCTTGCCTTGCATGCATGCGGCCCTCAGCACCACATAAGCAAAAAGAAAAAAAGCCGGAAGTGGCACTGTGGCTCAAGTGGTAGAGCGCTAGCCTTGAGCTGAAGAGCTGAGGGACAGTGCCCAGGCCCAGAGTTCAGGCTCCACAACTGGACCCCAAAAAACAAAACAAAACCCTGCAGTTAATCTGGTGGATAAACACAAATCCAAACACATTTGGAAATGGTATTCTCTCCTTAACAAGCACTTTAGGTCTTGAGTTATTCACTCAGCCCTCCTTCTTGTGGTTCTGGAGTCCAGACAGTTCCCTGCAAGAGCGAGCAGCACAGGACTACGTCCATACCTGATACTGCACGCCTGCTTGCCTGGCAGTGTGGGATGGCAGTGGTGATAGAGCACATTCTCTGCACTGTCCACTAGTGCTGGCCCCAGGGGCTCTCTGATCTTAGAATGAGGACATGGACAAGGCACCTGTTACTTTGGTGAAGGCATTATTCTAGAGCAGGAAAAAAAAAGCTGCTTGATATTTTCATAGGTCACCTACTTCTCTTGTCAATACCTTAGGTCATTCTCCAGAAGGAGTGAGGTGGTGAATAAGGGAGTGGGAGCAAAGGCAGGCAAAGGTGTGATTTCAGCAAAGTTGAAAAGAGGCTGACTTCAGCCTGATTCCTTCAGGAAATCTTGGACTGTAAGTTGCACCTCACTGAGGTAAAAGAGCTGGGTTTTCATATAGTAAACCTAGGGGTCCATCAGCTGCACACCCACAGGTGGGTGCTACATATTAAAAGCAAAATAAGAGAGCCTAGAAAAACAGTGAAAAAGAGATGTGAGGAATCTGGGCTACTTCAGCCCATGTAGTTCGGTAACTAACTGCTTGGGGAAAAATGCTTAATGAAATGCTAAGGACAATATGAATGAAGAATTCCACAAAAAGCAAACTGAAAATGAAGAAATGTTCTACTGGCTTTAGTCTTCAGTCTCTAAACCAGGCTGCTTTTGAACTTCCTGGAAAGCAGTCCCTGATCCTGGATGTTCGTTTTCTTAAAGCTATTTCTGAAACAAAGTCACAGGGTCTCAAAGACAATATTTATTTACCACATAAAATTTGCACCTAGCACCAGTGCCTATAAATACCAGAATTCCATCTGGTTACTACTCTGGATGGCATGATTAGTCCTTCACAGATTAGGCTAAGTGAATAGTTGATTATCGTAACAAAAAAATGGAGAAAACAGTTTAAAAATCATTTGATAAGTTGTATAGAACTACATTTGAAGTTATTTAAAAAATCTTTCACTGTTTCGCGTAAACAAATTAACTTAATAACAGTGTTTTAAAAACCAGATTTTCCTGGAAGTTACACACAAGTAAAACTGTACAAACCACAAAAATACATGAGTCTGAAATTAGGCTTTCTATTCTCATCCTTCCCAAATGAGAAGTATAAAGATATTCACACAGTGGAGACAAGAACAAAAGTTTGGTGAATACCTATACTGAAGATGAAGCAAAAGACACTATGATATGACTCTAAAAAGTGAAGTCACCTGGTCTGAATTTAAACATTATATAGTAATAGACATGTATCTTTAGAAAATGGATCAATTTATCTCTACTTTCCTGAAATATGCTGAGTGGATCATCATGCTGCCTTATTATTTATTCACTTTGGCAAACTGTAGGCTAACATTATTACTATCTAGTTTATTTGAGTGACCAATTCCCACTGTTTCTTATAAGCAGAACTTGATGCTGAAGCTAAGTAAATCTAAGTTGGGTTTCAGGCCCACCAGCAGGCAAGGCAGTCATTTCATATTGCGGGCAGCACACGTGGTTGTCATTCATATGTCAGATTTCTAAAGACATGCTGAAAAAAATCTGTAAACAGAATCTTCCCATGCTGCATTCACATGCTCCATTCCCATCTCTAGCTCCCCCAGGCTGTGAGAAGCTTGAGTAAGATGATTAAAGGTCTCACGGTGGCGAGTTCTATGAGAAAAAAAAAATGGAAGTGAATAACCATGTATAATGTATAGAGGTAGGTCTTAGCTGACACCTAAAACACAAACATCCACAAACATCCAAAGGGAAAAAACAGATATGTCGGACATTATCAAAATACTATGAATACTAGGAATGAAACCTGTCAAAGAACATTGCATGCATGTAGGGAGTTCCAGTCAAATCCTTTTATACAACTAATATACACTAATTAAAAAGTTTAAAATAATCAGATATACAAGTTTTATTTAAAAATTAAAAACCTTAAAAAATAAAGTGCTCATATTTGTAATACAACTCAAGAGGCTGAGATCTGGAGGATCACGGTTATTTAAGCCAGCCAGTTTGGGAGCCTCCATCTCCAATTAACCATCAAAAAGTGAAACAGGAGGTGTGACTTGAGTATAGAGCTCCAGTAATTATAGTATAGTGCTCCAGTAAGAATAGAGTCCAGAAAGCAAGCCAAGAAAACTCAAAAAAGTGTTTGTATATTAAGCATCCAGTGCCTAGTATCCAGAATATGTAAAGAACTCTTAGACTAGAAAAATAAATTTGGGGGCTGGGAAGGTGGCTCAGTGATAGAGCGCTTGCCTTGCATGCATGAGGCCCCTGGGTTCGATTCCTCAGCACCACATAAGAAAAAAGAAAAAAAGCTGGAAGTGGCGCTGTGGCTCAAGTGGTAGAGTGCTAGCCTTGAGCTGAAGAGCTGAGGGACAGCGCCCAAGCCCAGAGTTCAGGCCCCACAACCGGACCCTCAAAAAAAAGAAAAGAAAAATAAATTTTAAGCTGGGCACTGGTGGCTCACACCTGCAATCCTATCTACTCAGAAGGCTAAGAGCTAAGGATCGCTGTATAAAGCCAACCCAGGCAGGAAAGTCTGTGAGACTCTTATCTCCAATTAACCACCAAAAAGCCAGAAGTAGAGCTGTAGCTCAAGTGGTAGAGCACTAGCCTTGGGCTAAAGAGCTGAGGGACAGCGCCCAGGCCTAGAGTTCAAGCCTCACAACTCACCAAAAAAAGAAAAATAAATTAAAAAAAAAAAAAACCTCAATTTGAAAATGGGCAAGTATTTCTCTAAGGACATGAAAAGAAACTCAGTACCATTAAGTCATTAAGGAAATGAAAATAAAAACCACAGTAAGACTCTATTTCATGCTTACTAAGATGGCTATAGTTATCTATGATAAGCAGTAACAAGTGTTAGGATGTGGAGAAAGTGGAGCTCATATACTGCCGGTTGGATGTAAAATGATATAGTAGCTTTAGGATAGGTTCCTCATTCCTCAAGATAGTTACACAGAGTTCCCATAGAACATAACAGTACCATTCTAGGTATATACCCAGATTTGAAAAAAAAGTATGCTCACAAAAAGATTTCTAAATGAAAGCTCACAACATTATTCATCACAGCCCAAAAGTGAGCAAGTGAAATGCTACCAACCGATGATGGGATGGGTAAGATATATGTAAGCAAACAAAGAAATATTATTCAAACACAGGAGTAAAATGTTAAAGCATGCCACAGCATGGGTGAACCTTGACAGTATTACGCTGAGTGACAGTAGCTAGACACAAAAGGCACATAATGTGTGATTATGTTTATATGATATGCAGAATGGAACCATGCCTAGAAACAGATTCATGACTATCAGGAGGAAAATAAGGAATCAGGACTAATAGGCATAGGGTTTCTTTTGGGGGTGATGAAAATGTTTAAAAACAATAGAAACTAGTGACGGTTTGTGCAACTCTGTATGGATGTACTAAAAAACACTATTTTGCATACTTTAAAAGGGTAAATTTTATGATATGTGACTCATACTAGTTTAAAAGAAAGGATTTATTTGGTGGGGGGGAGGGGAATACGGACAAGCCTTTATATTCAGGAACACAAAATCTTTGTGCATCAAAAAAACCCTACTTTAAAATTAGTTCTGGAACTAATGGTAATTGATCGCTTCAATCTGCAATCCTCCAGATTTTAGCTTCCTGAGTAGGATTACAAGCATGAGCACCCCTACTTTAAAATTAGTTTCAGGGCTAGGCCTGTAGCTTAGTGGTAGAGTGCTTGCCTAGCATGCATGAAGCCCTGGGTTCAGTTCCTCTGTACCACATAAACAGAAAAAGCTGAAAGTGGCACTGTGGCTCAAGTGGTAGAGTGCTAGCCTTAGGCAAAAGAAGCTCAAGGACAGTGCCCATGCTGAGTTCAAGCCCCAAGGCTGCCCCCCCCAAAAAAAATTCTGATAAAACTCGATCTCCTAAAACACAAATATTTTTTCTTTTTCTTTGTATCTCCAGCAGCATGCCATATAAATGTTAACTGATTTACTAATCTCATTCCTCTCCTTTAGAATTAGTCCTAACATCTTCTTGGTCCATAAAACTGTTACATTTGCATTCAGCTAAAACACACATAATTAGAAAACTTGAATGAACAAATTCAATCAGAGCAAAAATAGAAACAAGTTCGGTTACTAGGGTTTAGCTCATTAATTCAAGTCACAATGTCATAAAGCCTCATGCAGGTGACATTTACAAAAAGTGCTCGAGATACAAAATAGGTATCATTCATCCCTTCAATAGGGTCAAATTCTAGATGCACAGGTGCAACCTGAATAAATGTGGTTGATGTGCCACAAAGAGAATGCAACAAAAAAAGGAAACAAATTCTAAACTGGGAGAGAGCTATGGAAGGAGTAACATTGTCCAAAATGAAATGTATTCATTACCTGACGTAACTCTGTACATCACCTTTACAATAACAATTAAAAAATGAAAAAATATATTCTGCCTACAGCTTACATTTTCCTTTGAAAAAAAAAAACAAGACAAACAAACAAAAAAAAAACCCATAAAACTAAAATGACTAGAGAAAGTTCAAAGGTTAGAACTAGTCTTTTAAAAACAATTTACAGAAGAGAAACTTAAAAAGGACTAATCTTCTGTTTGAAGGTAAAGCCCAAAGCTGTGGTCTGGATTAGGTGTCCTCAAAGGCCCAAATGTTAATGGTTTGTTTCCCCTGGGCAAGGAGGTGCTTTGGT